TATAGGGTGATGGTTTCCTGTAGCTGGTATTGCTTTACAGGACTCAAGATATTGACGATGGGTTATTGGCAGAAAACATAGTTTTCCATATGTCAGAGTATCTTTTCTTTGCTGCTTTGATCTTATTTGTCAGCATGCTTCTGGATTGATTGTTCAGGATTCTATTTCCACTTCCATAGCTTGCCTCCTTAGCCTGCATGAGCAATTTTAGGTTTGATGTAAACCAAGGCTTGTTATTGCTAAATGTTTGGAAGGAGTTTTTGGGCACACACACATCCACGCAAAAGCTGATGTATGATCTCACTGTGTCATTGAGTTCATCCAGATCTTTGGCTGCAGCCACAAAAACACTCCAGTCAGTACATCAGAGCAGGCCTGTAGCTCTACTTTTGCCTCCTTGATCCATCTCTTTATAGTCTTAATAAATGGATTCGCAGTTTTTAATTTTTGCCTGTAGGTTGGAAGAAGAATAATGCAATGATCGGAGAGACCCAAGGCTCCATGGGGAACAGAGCATTAAACAGTAACACCACTTTGGTTGAGAAAAAACAATCCTCTTTGGGTGATAAATGTACATTGCAGGGATGTTAACCCCCCGGGCGGTATTCCCGAGTGTAGCTCGGGGTTAATTATCAGTGCCAAAAGTGGTAACCATGAGCTACACTCGGGATTACCATGCAGCGTTGCTCTGGGATTCCCTGTTTCACTTACCTTGTCTTTCACTTCCACGATGTCCCCCCTGCAGCGTCCCCTGCCATCTCCTCCAGCCGATGCCAGCATCCATCTTCTGGGTTCTGGTCCCTGCGAGCGTTGGGACGTATGGGACGTACGGGGCTGGAACTGGCAGGAAATGTAAAAATTTTAAAAAGTGACATTCACGAAATACACTAAAATCACACAGTAAAACATTCCTGTTTCAAACCATTTCACATACATTTTGTTCCTAGTGTTTTGTCCTGTGCCCTGTTTGCATTTTTACCAGTCTTTCTGCCTTGAAACTGACAAACGTCCATGGTGTCCAAAAAGCGTCCTTTTATGTCAAAAGCAGTTTTAGACCAGCTAGAGAACAGTGATAGTAAATCAGAACCACTTGCAGAATTGAGTGATAATGATTTGTGGGGAAATTCATCATCAGACACTGAAAACGATTTTGCATTTAAGCTCAGTGATGTGCGAACTTGGCGCTATATTTCAAACTTCAGTGTTTTTGGTTTGATTATATTATTGAATTAAATGTATTATTATTATATTATTATATTATTATTTTTTATGATTATTTATTATATTATAATTTATGATTTCGTATTTCAAATTTTATCATATCTGGGATATTTACTAGTCCCTTGTTCAGACAGATTTCAGTGAGTTATTCCTAAAAATTACAGCCTACAATAAAAATCGACATATTTCCATGTAAAAAAATGTACCGCTTTGATCACAGAAATATGGACATAATCATACCGCTAGGGAGGTTAATAAACTTTGTTGCAAATTCAGAACTGTTTCTTCTCTGCATGAATAGCTCTTTGTTTCATTATATCAATGTGCAGAGTGAATTTGAATGGGATTGGTTTTTTTTCATTATCAGCTGATGCACTTTCAGTGTTCTAATGAGGAAAGTTGCAGAGTCTACATCCCTTTAGAAGTAATTAACATTGGGAGTATCTCACCAAAATGAAATTTCTGTTGCAGAGGATGTCTTGAATCTAACTTGCTTCACAGTGCAGAATTCTGGAAAAATCAAGCAGCCAATCACACAAGAAGGACATTACATTTCTGTATAGGCTGGGGAGATTCTGTACACCAACTATGTACAGAAAGCCTCCAAATAACATGCAATTACAATAGGACAAATTCCTGTATGGCGACTGGCACATAGGAATGCGCATGCGTGCAATATTGCGCATAGAAATGAGCACGGGTGCATTGCTAATAGAAATGAGCATAGGCTAGCGCATGCACAAGAATGCGCGCACACAGGAGCATGCACGCGGGAGCGTGACCACAGTTTCTGGCACCAGATGGACTATTTAAAGGAGGCTCTTACTCTCTGTCAGTGCTGACTGGTCTTCAGCTAATTCCCTGTGTCCTGCTGTATCCTGTGTGTTATCTGTTACTGACCCGGCTTGCCATTGATCTGCTCTCGGATTCCCTTTATGCTTCTGCTCATCGGTTTCTGATCCTGGCTTCCTCCTGACCTTGTCCCTGTCTGGTGTTCTGGTACCTCATCACCCACTCGTTGCTGACCCTGACTATTACTCTGACAACTCTTCCGTCTCCAGTTTGGCTCTACAGTCCTGCTGAGTGCTTGTCCTGGCTATCCATTATATCAGCTCTGGTTGCCACGGTGTGTTCCGGCCTCACGCTTATCAGAAGTTCCGGCAAGCCATGTACTCAGATCTTGCAGTTCCAGTGGAGTGCCTCCTTAACCTCAGCTGGCAGCTCCGCCATCTCCTCTGTTCCTGACTGGATGGCCTGCTTGATTCACTGAGGCTACACCACCAGCCACAAGTTTGACAATTAATACCCACAGGCACTCGTGTTTCTCCTGTCCCTTGGCACCATCTGTTCCACCTTCAGTGGGGCCTGGGTTGGAGATACAAGAGAGGCTGACCTCGTCAATTCAAACTTCTATTAGGTACATGACAGGATGTGTGCAATTGTATATGCTATAATCTTTTTTATTTGCTATTTTGTTCAGGGAAGGGGGCTTTCCTATAAGCATTCTCTATTAAGGTGTAATAATAACCCATTGTGCTATCCCTGGTGGGATACATAACACATTGTCTGTATTTTGGCAGTTTATGGTTAAGATTTGCTCTGTTAAGAATGTGTGTGTATTTGTGTATATATATATATATATATATATATATATATATATATATATATAAAAACTTTTATTGTTGAAAAAACTCCATACAAAAGAGTGATCCAAAAAAATGGACAAAGTCGTATATCAACAAGCAGTTTCGGGCTATTACCCTTCTTCAGATCAGAACACATATTGAAATACAAATGCTACTTTTATCAATATATAAATACATCATAACTGGAATCAATTATATAATTAACCACATATTGAATGCACATCAGATGAACTTCTTCTAATAAATGTGGTGGTTTAAGAGTGAAAATTCTGTCATGAAGAAACGTCCCCATATTAAAGATGTGGAATGTAGACATAAATACCTATTATAAAAAGCACATGTATACATTAAGGTAAAAACATGAAAAAGTATGTATATATATATATATATATATATATATATATATACACATGTATATACAAAAGCCAAAAAATAAATTAAACAAAACCTCAAAAAAATTATTTTAAATAAATACAGTTCAAAATCCAAATTTTACCCTTTAGGATCCATTGAACCTCCTGTTGTCTAAGTTGTAATTCTCTGTTACCTCCACATCTGTTTCTAGGAATTCCATCAATGACCATAAATCTGAGTTGAGAAACCGTATGACCTTTTTCTACAAAATTTCTCGCTAGGGGTAACTTAGTGAGTTTATCTCTAATAGAGTATTTATGTCTAGCTATTCTATCCTTTATCTTTTGGGTGGTGTTACAAATATATAACAAACCACATGGACATCTTATGATATATACCACAAATGATGACTGACAGGTATAGTGTTTTCCTTGATATACTGTAACCTAACCCCCTGTTCACATCTATGCAGCCATGCAGGTCGAGTTTTGCACGGGCACGAGAGCACATTCATTTGAATGGACTCTCGTGCCCGTGAAACGCAGGGAAGAAGTCCCTGCAATTCTCTGGAAAACGCAGCCCGCACGGGAACCTCGGTTCCCAGTACGGTTGCGTTCCCCAGTGCGGGTGGCGTGCCATTAGAACTAATGGCACCCGCCCGCTGGTCCGCATTTCTCTGGGCGGGTGGTGCGGCTGCACTGATTTTCATGCGGATCCGCAGCGGCACCACCCACACAGATGTGAACCTAGGGTCAATGAGGATGAGAGAAAGATTTTCCCTTTGTCATATTGTTACATTGTATACAACTAAGACACGGATAAGAGCCAAAGTTACAATTACCCAAAAAGGTTACAGGAAATAAAGGTGGATTATATTGGTCTGATTTTACTAACCTATCATGTAATGTCCTTCCCCGGCGATAAGAAGGTAACGGAGGGAGATTAAATTCTGATGTAGAAGGATAATTAGTACTCAAAATTGACCAATGTTTTTTAATTATATTTACCATATTTTTCGCTCCATAAGATGCACTTTTTTCCCCTTAAAAAAAGGGGGGAAAATGTCAGTGTGTCTAATGGAGCGAATGTCGAGCGGCCGGTCCAGTATTTCCGCCGCTGCCGCCATGTCAGAATACTGGGCCGGCCGCTCGGCTCTTCTTTGCAGCAGGACCTTACCTGTTCCTTGGTCCAGCGCTGTACAGTCTTCCGCCGCCGGCATCTTTAGTGTGGGCACCCGGCTGTGACACATTACAGGTCCCAGAAGACGCCGGGCCATTCACAAAGCGCAGCGCTTCTCGTGCATGCGCAGTGGGCACTCGGCTGTCACAGCCAGGTGCCCACACTAAAGGGAGGATAACTCCACGGAAGTGGGAGTGGGTACCTGTCAAATTCAGGTACCTGCTCCCCCTCCCTCCCCAAAGGTCCGCAGTCTCTTGGTCATCCCCTGTACTGTCTGCAGTCTCTGGTCATCCCCTGTACTGTCTGCAGTCTCTGGTCATCTGTACTATGTCCGCAGTCTCTAGTCATCTCCTGTACTGTGTCTGCAAGTCTCTGGTCATCTCCTGTACTGTGTCTGCAGTCTATGGTAATTTCCTGTACTATGTCTGCAGTCCAATTGTTTTTTTTTCTTGTTTTACTCCTCTAAAACCTAGGTGCGTCTTATGGTCAGGTGCGTCTTATGGAGCGAAAAATAAAAAAGTAAAACCCGATTTGAATAAAGATGAAACTGAGAGATGAAAGGCAGTCTGCGGGAATTAGGCCATCTATTTTTCTGTTGGGACCAGGGGCGGACTGACCATTTGGTAACTCGAGCACTGCCCGAGGGCCCAGGGTCAGTAGGGGGCCCCATGAGATGCCCCTGGTACCTTTTTCATAGGCTTTTTTGAGTTTGGGCAAGGACACAGGGGCCCCATGATCCCCTATTGCCCGGGGCCCCATGATGAGTTGTCAGTCCGCCCCTGGTTGGGACAAAGTATTCCTTTCTTTTTTAACTATATCAGTGGGATAACTCCATACACAGAGCCTTTTTCCATCTCATTGAGTCTAATCTCCCTAACCTGTGAGTCAATGACAATCCTAGAAACACGGGTTAATTGGCTACAGGGTATAGATTTAAAAACCCCAGGGGGATGATAACTAGAAAATAACAACAACTGGTTACGATCTTAATAGGCTTAATGCATAAATCACTAACAATATGCTCATTACATGTTCTCAAAAGAGTATCGAAAAAAGAAATTTCCGTTGTGCTCATTGTCATGTTAAACTTAAGTCCTGGTATTAAACAATTCAAATAAGTATTAAATAAAGATAAGGATTCTAAGTCACCCATCCATACAGCAAAGACATCCTCAATAAATCTGAAATAACATAAACAATATCTTGTAAAAAAAATCACAATGATATATAAATACATTCTCTATCATATCCACAAATGCATTCGCATATGGTGGCGCGACATTAGAACCCATCGCTGCCCCGATGAGCTGTAAATAATAATTCTCCTTAAATAAAAAGAAATTATCCTCCAAAACAACTGTCAAAAGTTGTAATAGGAAGGAAATCTGCAAAAAATAATAACTTTTTGAATGAAACAACAAACGTCTGCAGGCTTCTATCCCTAGTTCATCTGGGATTGCTGTATAGAAATTTGCTACATCCCAAATGACCAATATGGAATCAGGGGGTAAAATAAGATATTGGATTTTATTAAAAAAATCTTAAGTATCTCATATGTAAGAACGAGTGTTCAAAATCAAAGGAGTCAAACATTTATCCAAATGTCTGGCTAAAGAAGTAGTAGCAGACTGAGTACTAGACACAATTGGCCGTCCTGGTGGGTTTAAAGAATCCTTATGTATTTTAGGAAGGACATATATAATAGGTGTTGCAGGATATTCTTAAATTAAATACATTTTAGTATCATTATCAATAATACCTTGTTTATTTGCCTGAGTGACAATCTTATTAATCCTCTCTTGTACACGGAATATAGGATTGCTGTCCAACCGACGATAAGTACTGGTATCTGCCAACTGTCTAAGAATCTCCTGTTCATATTTGGTAGTGTTTATAATAACAATAGAACCCCCTTTGTTGGCTGGTTTGATGGTAATATCTCACCAAGCTGACAAGTAGGTGAGAACAATGATTTAAATTGCGAGATACATACTCCCTTTTAGAACTATCATGAATAAAAGTTTTTATATCCTGTCCAACCTTGCCAATAAACAGCTCAGCAGCAGGAGAAGTAGTAGAAGGAATAAACCTGCTTTTTTGTTTTAACCCCAAAGTGTGAATTGATAAAGGTAATAAATGATTACTGTTTTTGGCAGGTTTAGAGGAATAAAAAGCCTTTAGACATATGTGTGTATAGAAGCGAGATAAATCCTGTTTAAGAACAAAGGTATCTATCTTAGTTTTGGGACAAAAATTGAACCCTTATTCAAGACATGGAATTCAATATCTGAGAGCACAACAGATGAAATATTACATACCACATTAGATGATGTAATTGAGTCCTCTGTCTGTTCTTTGTGGGTTGCAATTCCCCTTGAAGTTGTGCTTTCGTTTCTTTCTCCCTCCTCTCCTTGTCTTCCTGAGTCCCCAGAACGATGTTCCAAGAAAGATCCACTGGGAGCATTGGCAGAAGATCCAGAGGAAACCATAGATGATGATGAGGCAGATAACTGTGGATTACAACAAGCTCGTCTGAATGGTTTAAATCTGTACCAACCAGGATCTGTCCAATTATAGACCCGGATATTAAGATAATCATCTTGATCTCTTTCAAGTTTAGATCTCTTTCTTGTCTCAATATGTTTCCTGAAAGACACAAATTTCTCACTGCTCTGTTGTTTAGATTTCAGAAAATCATCTTGGCTCATTAATTCTTTCAATTGTGTTTCCAAATCTGTAATCTGTTGTGACAAAGAGGTACATTCTTGTTGTTAAATTTGAACAGTCAGAGTGATCAAATCAAATGAGCACTTGTTAATGATCTTAATTAAATTGATTTTTAATTTTATCATTTTGTGCAAACAAAGTAGGTACAATCCTCACCAGTCCTCTGGGAATAAGTTGCTGTTTATAATATTCAGCCAAGGTGACTGTGCAATTCCAGAGATGTTAATCTTTGTAAAGATTTATCTAGTTTCCGTATAAATTGTGAAATCGAAGTGTCCGTAAGGAAATCTCTCGATCCAACAGTAGCAGTGAAGATCCGAGCTGCATCCTCATCTGTATAGGAAAACGATCCTCCTGCATAGATATATATATACATAGTATACTGTATGTACCTATTGGTATTATCTTGCATGCACAGTGCCAGAGAGCTAGGTCTGTGCTACTGTATGTATGTAATTGTCACCTTTCAGGATATTAGTAGGTTGAACCTGTTTATTGCAAAAGAGGTTATATGCATCTCCTATTATTTTATTTAACCCTGTTGTGACAAACATGTTGCCCGACCCTGCCCTTCTCACTAACTAGTAACAAAGGACCCACCAATCTCACACTGCGCTGTCACTTGAGTAACAATGCCACTCTCAGCTGCAGCCTTCACAAAGATTTTCCAGCTCGCAGGACCACAATCTATGTGCCAGCAGCCTGAGAGCGATTGTCACTGGGTTAATTAATTAAGCAATTAACCCTTTAAACTGCCACCACCGCCTTTTTACCGAGAAGGAGGAAACTCACAAATCTTAGCAATAACATTAAAACTAAACTTTTCAAGATATGGTTTAGTAATGAAAAGGTCAAATGATGCAAAATACAATATTTACAGAAAAGGATGTTACAAAGACATGAAGAGAACAATAATGCAACAGAGAAATAAAAGGAGGTGAAAATGGAGAATACTTGCAAAGTCCTTGATTTTAGCAGAGTCCAATTGTCCAAGCAAAAATGTTGCCATGGCTTTCAAGTCCATTAAGCTGCTCCTTGGATGATGTGAAATGAGAGCATGCTTACCAGGTCCTGTCATCCCCTTTTCTGTGATATCAAAGGGGTGTCACTAGAGACCATCTGACCAATAATCTGGTTTAAGGAATGGGTGCTGGGAGACCACCACATTTACGACCAATTCCCAAATACAGTTTTAAACTAATATGAATAACTTCCAATACGAGCAGGTGTTGTTCTAGAAACTGACGGAATATTATTCAGAATTATATTTTGTATCCAGGGATACCAAAAACTGAATACCTTTGTTGCCCAAGAGGGAGGAGACTGCTTTCTCCGGTTTTGTATGTGCTATCATAGTCATGTATGACCTCGATTGGTTCATTATGATATTCTCCATTCCAAATATATACCTAATATTAATGTGTCCTGTTCCTGTTGAATTCTATTAATTGTATGTGGAAATGTTAAGTTGTGGAATACACATTTTATGACACACTCTGCATTCCTAGAGCTGTAATGAGTCTGTCAAATCATGTGTGAAAGGCTTGACTGAGTTATTATGGTTTTACGATAGGGAAGAGGGAAGAATTTTTCATGGTTTGTGGAAGCAGACATCCTGCCAAGACTAATTAGCTGTTCACAGCTGGCACTCAAGCCTAGAATCTGGTGTGTGATTAGCGGAAATAAGATACACTTTTGAATTTTGTTAAAAGTTACAGTTATAAATTCCATAGTTTGCAAGAGGAGGGAGGGAGATCACTGCTCATGAAAACAAAATGGCTGAGACCTTAACAAGATGGCTGTCCCGTACAGCTTCCATGTCCCAATCGTTACACCTGTCCAATCTAGTCTTGGATACTATATCTAGTTTTAGCTTAGGGCTAGATAACCAGTATAGTCTAGAGGCAGATTATGCATCTGGTCATGTAGAGAACCATTTGCATGTCAGATTACAAACTGCTAGACAGGGACTAAAGCACAGAGTAGAAAGGCTCCAGTGCCACGCCACAGTTTGTGCATTCCAGACTGGTTGGGCAACAGTTGGGGGATCTCCCCTTCACCACTGATCTTATCTTCAGGTCTCCAACACAAAGACAGACACCGCATCGTGATCATCCTCAGGGGTCTGTGCAACTGGACTTTGCTGCAAGATTCATCTGGAGGTATCTTTAATAATACCACATATATACTGTATACCTGGCTATATGTGCACAATTTTATCAGTTCTCATATTGGGTCCTTTGCTGATAATACCTGTTTGTACATTGGATGTATGTATAATTATTATTGTTTTCTTATATAAAGCATGTATTTTTTTCATACTGGTGTACATTTACAGTACATACTGATGCTTAAAGTTATATGTTGGTTGCAGTAGTTCCTCTGCTCCCAAATGCGTTGGTTAGATTAGTGGTTAATATCCCAGGAAGGAATTCCCCTCTGTTCCCAGGGGCCCTGTCCATGATATGTCTCCCACTAGGCTTCTGTGAGGCTTGGAGAACAGAGTGTACCTAGGCACTATCACATGTGCAGAAGTGTTCTGCTATTTTCTAATTAGGAGTTGTATGCTAAATGTACTGTACATTTTTGGGTAGCTTGCTTTGTCATGTTCAAAAGTGTGCTAACTAATTCATACTAGACAGCCAAACTTTAGCCTTTTACGTATACAGTAGGTAGAAACATCAAATCTGCCTCTTTTTTTTACAATTTGTTGTTTTGTTTAATAGTGTAACGGACCACCTGACAGCACCTCTATCAGTCCCCTGATAGAGCCTCCCCAGAGTGCGGAGTCTAAGTACCGGAGCACTTGTTCACCAGGGCCCCTGATGGTGGGGATGGACTTGGAGCGCTCCGGGACCAGGTCGCAGCTACCGAGTATCTCTACCAGAGGTAGAGGAGTCTGCCAGAGGCTCCTGTGGGTTAAGAGTCTAATGCGAGGGAGCTCGGGGATCCCTGAGGGATGGATGAGCAAGATCAGAGTCAAACAGGCCGTGTCGGTAACTAGCGGGTCGGTGCGGTACAAGACGGTAGGCAAGGGATAGTCGGGTCACACGCAGGGTCAATACCAGAAGATCAGATCTATAAGGG